GTGAGTAAGAGTCAGGTGCTGGGGTTTTTCGTAAAAAAGGGTTACATGCTGGGGTTTGGTATGGGCTCTGGTCAGGCTCTTGCTTGCTTGACCAGTTTTTACAATTCCTTCTGGTTTAATCATTCACGTGCCTGGCCAGCCATGCTCCTGCCTGACAGCTATGAGTCGGGGTCGACTTGATGGCACATAACAACAACAACAACCTCTTTCCTTAGTTTACTTCTGCTTTGCCAGCTACCCCAACTGATGGCGGATTTCCTTAGGGAAGCTTTCTCTAGCATCCTGAGTCCCTCAGCCTTGATCAGTCCTCCCAGATCTACATTTAGTCATATTTTTTTCTTCATGGCATTTATCACAATTATGCATTTATATGTATTATTCTTTGGTGAATAATGTCAGTCTCTTTATGGACTGAAAAGTCTACCAGGATGAGGACGCCAAGGTGAGGACTGGGTAGGTTTTTGCTCATCATTGTATTCCCAGTGGCCAGCACAGTGTAGGTGCTTAATAAATATTTATTGGTGAGTGAATGGAGGTACCAGGGGTTGGATGATCCGATACAGAGACAAAGCCTAGTTGAATTATAATTCAATACCCCAGGCTTTCTATTATTATCCCCCACTGTGGTTGGAGACAGATAACTAGGCATGATAACCCATTTCCTTAAGAGCTGAGTTGAATTGACAGTCAGTCCCCCATCCTTTCTATTATTATCCCCCACCTTAGCTGGAGATAGATGAATAGGTATGTTAACGAGTTTCCTTAAAATTGTTTTTCTGAAACAACCTATAACAACTTGAAGTCACTTTTGGCTGAAGGACATGTGCAGTGTGACAAACAGGATGAAGTTGCTGGGAACATCTTCCCCTCTGCCTAAGTCCCAATCAGCTGATGACAGGAAGTCAGTGTAACTAATCCAGTGTGTAAGCACACTGCATTTAAAATTGACTGTCCTCTTAAACCAAGGTGAAGGAAGCCTCAGCCAATCCCCAGCTAATTCACACCCAAATTCCTGGAATTCTTATGAATATATATAAGCCCCTTTCCTGAACTTTATAAAACTGTACCCCAACCCCAACTTGGGGAGTCAGATTTGAGTACTGGCTCCTGTCTCCTTGCATTGTCCCTTTGCAATAAATAACCTTTCTCTCCTCTCAAGCACTCAGTGTGTATAAAGTAATTTGACACTGGGCAGGGACTCACATTTGTTCCTCCTTCAGAGTCTCCCAGAGTTTCCATCTACTTCTTCTCCACAGGGAGCTTTGGTGGCATAATGCCTAAGGCATCTGACTGTTAACCAGAAGGCTGGTGGTTCAAACCCACAAGCCACTTTTCAGAAGGAAGGTTGGGCAATCTACTTCTGTTTGTTTCTTCTTCACAGGACTGGCTAGAGTCACTCCTTCAAGTTTCTGGGCTTTAGACATGGTTTCAGGTCCTGCGTCCTTTCTGGGTAAGACAAAATACATTAATGTTTGGAGACGATGTGTTGGTAGGTGAAGGAAGAACTAGACATGAGGCAGAGGGTGGTTTGAGAGGATTATTTATTTGAAATACATATATATATTTTTTTTTTTTAATTAAAATAGCTATCTATACTTACTAATAAAATTTAGAAAACAGAAGAGGAAAGAAAAGAGAAACTTCTATCAATTATCTTTCCTCCTTCCCCAATTCCAGGAAAATTACTACTAGCATTTTAATGTATCTTCTTCCAGTCTTTTTTCCACCTACATTTTTTTCCTTATTTTGAAGCATTGTGGTTCTCCAGTAAGTATATATTATTTCTATTCTGATTTTAAAAATTAATATAGCTTAAACTTTTTATAAGAGATAATAAATTCCCCTTAAATATTTTTAATGACCAGATAATGTTGTTGAGTTAATCTATTACAATGTAGTTATTTCATATTTTTTTTTTTTAGTTTTAGACATGCTGCACTGAAAACCTTTGTGCACCAAACATCTTCTGCATTTTGAATCTTCTCTTTGTAATGCTTTCCAAATATGGAATTTCTGAGTTAAAATGTATGACCAATTTTATGGCCCTGGATGAGGTTACCGAATGGCTTTATCAAAAGAACCAAACTATTATAGTCCTACCAGCCATGAATAAGATCACAAGTGCCCAGCAGTTATGATGATCTGTCCTTTGGAGGGACAGCAGGAAGCTCTTAGTAGGTAAGACCAGTGGGCCCAGCATGCCTCCAGACAGAGGAGGTATCAAGCCAAGTATTTGCTATACTAGAAGTGGCCATCCACTCTGGGTCAGTAATTTTCTTCTGTTTGCCTCCAGGATCACTCAATGATTCCAAAACATGCCCTTATGGAAGATAAAAGCCTTGATGTCCATGTGTTTGAAAGGATAATGGTTCAAGTAGGGAGCCAACCAGTGATCCCACGAGTCCCTCTTGGAGCTGTTAGAGTCTTCTGTGGCTTTATCTCATTTTTCCCACTCTTGACATCTCAATTTACTCCTTTGGATCTTTCCAGAAACCGTCTTTGGCAGTTCTGAAACAAAGGCCACCTAGTGACCAAATAAGAAAAACCATGAAATCATTTCTGGGAAGACTTTTGTCTTGAAAGAATCATTACCCTCTGCCTCTTCATTGAAAGAACTCCACAATGTATGATTTTTCCCAAATAGCAATAAATCAAAACAGAGCCTGGAGGACGTGATCTATCCAACAGCAGTTCAGCACCAACCCCCCTGAATCTGATCTAGAGGTCGCTTCTTAGAGTAAGAACAAAATGTGTTTTGGGCAGGGTCCAGGATGGAACAAGGACAGAAAGCAAGGATTATATGTATCCTGTCTCCCCAGTGCCTGGCACAGAGCCTAACCTAGCCCTGGGTCAATGCGTCGGTAGTATGTGCTGATTTCATTTCCCAGCTCAGGTTGTGCTAGAACTACTCTCAAATGTTTACCTTCCGGGGATATTTATATGGAGCAGTCATCCTTTTCACGTGCTCTTGGAGTTCCCGGGTTAGTTCCTCTGGATCACAAGAGGAATAGGCAGGAGAAAGGACTATAAATGCCTTTACCACCTGCCAGGGGAGAAAAAGGGAAAAAAAAAAAAAAAAAATCAGGCCTTGTATGACCAAGGTTTCCTCCTTAAGCTAGCCTTGCAAATAAGGGCTGACATTTACCAACCCAACATGAAAGTTCTACCAATTCTTTGGGCCCAGCCAATGAAATGGACAACACTAATTTTTCTGTTGCTTGCTTCCCCAGGATCAATGATTGTGAGTGCTGGCTTTTGGGAAATGATATCAGATGCCTACCTATTTCACAAACTATTCCCCATACCTGAAATGATACAATGAGGAGCCATTTTGCTTCCTTTAAAATGAAAATACTTTGAAGAAAGGAGCTTCACAAACTCCTTGGAATTAATTATTCCACATTTGTCTGATAAGGAATTCATGGGTTTGGACAGGCAGGATTGGAGGGGGAAAAAAAAAAAAAACCTTAGATCATTTGAAAGGGAGGTTTTTTTTTTTTTGGCCCTGTATGTATGAATGTCTGTTATCGGTAACATTAATTGGCAACACTTCTGTTGCTTTAGGGGACATTCTGTACCTTGGCTCTCTATATCCTGGTCATTCCTGCAGACTGCCCTTAACCAAGGAGAGTGAAAAGTCTCAAAGGCAGCTTCTGATGAGTTTCTCATAAGAAAGGAAGTTTCCAAAAGGCCACTCACTCAGTCTCTCCATCTAACCCTTATTCATACCAGCATACAACTCTATCAACAATGTTCTGTTAAATGGTTGTCCAAATCCTTGCATACCTCCCAAAGATGGGAAACTCACTAGCATTTTACATTACACAGACATGGATTTTAGAGTGTTCTTTTACTACTATAACTACTAACTATTCTAAGCTTGAGATTCTATTCTAAGCACTATGTATGGGTTAACTTTGAACATGTAGCCCTTTGCAAACTCCAAAAACCCACTGCCATCAAGTCAATTCCAACTTACAGTGAGTCTGTAAGACAGAGTAGAACTGTCCCATAGGATTTCAAGGCTGTAAATCTTTACAGAGGCAGACTGTCTCGTCTTTCTCCTGCAGAGCGGGCGGTAGGTTTGAATTGCCGACTTTTGGTTAGTAGCCAAATGACTTAACCATTATGCCATCAGAGCTCCTTCTGTTTGTCAAAGCCCCAGATAATTTGTGGCATGCAGAACTAGGCATAATTTTCAAGTTGCGATTTCTCTGACACACAGATGGGACTTTCACCTCCTTCATTATAAATTAGTGGTCTTAAACTTTAGTGGGCAACAGGATCACTTGGCAGTGGCAGGAGGGAGGGTGCAGGGAGAAGTGCTGTTAAAATGCAGATTTCCCAGGCTGGCTGCAGCCCCAGTCACTCTGACTCAGAAAATCTGACTTGAGGTCTGGGTCTGTATTTTAAACACAAACCCAAGATGATGCAGCTGTCAGCAGTGCTGGGACCACACTTTGAGAATCTCTCCAGTGGCCAGCCATGATTCATCTATGGACGCAACTTGGTGGTGGATGATCTTTTTAAAGGTGACTGCATTATACTGTAAGATCATACTGGATTGACAGCCAATGAAAAGTACATAGCCCTTAGGCTGATCTCTTCCATTCTATATTTATGGCAACCACAGGATGGAATTCACATTTCTCCTGTGACAGGCTAGCTTATTAAACTTGGCGCATCTTTCTGGTATGTAAAGATCCATTTGGCTATTTATTCTATCATCTCTCAAATTGTCTAATCCTCAAGGTTAGAGCCCCCAGCAACTGTAACTGGCATGCTCTCTGTATTCTCATCTGTAAATGGAAAAAGACCTTTTATTGGACAGGATGGATGAAAGAATCTACTCTTACCACTAAGATCACTTGCCCAGTAGTCAACCTCTTCTGAATCCAACTCTGTATCCACTAAACACCAAAGTGTCAGTGTCTCCCGTTTCATCCCTCCCCAAAGTACTTGCATCTCCAAAGACATAAGGGTAATGCTTAACCAGAAGGACTGTGTGTCTAATGGTGTCATTTCAAACTTGGTGAGATAAGGGGGAATCTGTGCCTTCCTCTGGCTAATGGGTATAAAACCAGGAGCCCATGCTCTTGGCTGGATTAGTTACCTCCCCCCTTATGGGGTCTGGACTGCTGACCACAGCAGATTCCAGCACAGCTGGGTGCTCAGCAAGGGCACTTTCCACTTCCACAGGCCCAATCCGGTAGCTGGAAGAGAAAAACAAGTTCTTCTATTGCTTTCGCCATCCCAAGTTTCTGTGACTCTCCAAAAGGAGGAAGAAAGAACAGACTGCTTGACCTTGAGGAAATGATCACATCATCATTTCTTCCCATGAACCAAAAGTAGCCATCCTCATCCATGTGGGCTCGGTCCCCTGTGATGTAAAAGTTCCCTTTTTCGGAGGTGGCTGTCTTCTCGGGATTGTCCTGAAAGGCATAGAAATCTCAAGAAGGGCAACCTGAGCAAAGTCATTCAGGCCAGCAACTGTCCAAGTAGACCCATATGGGAAGCTGACGACCCCTGGCCTGGAAGTCCAGCAGTTCCCAAAGCCCAAGCTAGCCAGGACTCCCCCCTAGACAGGGAGCACCAGCAGCCAAGCAAATTGTCCCCCTCCTTGAATTGGACGGAAGATGCCAGGAAGTGATTAAGGTAAACCACCCACTACCACCTCTCCAGGAGGCCCTAGGAAGCCTATTTGAATGCATGAAAGAGAATACAGGACCATTGGCCATGTTTCTAGGATAAAAGAACACATTGAGAATGCTTATTGTCTGGAATCACTATAGAAAGGAAGGGGAGAACCAGAAAGCTCCTTGTTCTGAGGAGGGAAAAGGAAAAAAAAGGTCAAA